CAGAAGTTTAAAATTTTGCCACATGCCAATTTATTGATTTTTCTTTTTTAATTTTTCAATGTTTGCCTATCCCAAGGGCACCAAGATTTTCTTTTAGTTTTTTTAGAGGTTTTATAATTTTAGCTTCTCCATGTAAATACAGAATCCTTAGCTAAGTGTGATGTGTGTCCCTGTAGTTCCAGCTACTCAGGAGGCTGAGGCAGGAGGATCACTTGAGCCTAGGAATTTGAGGTTGCAGTGAGCTGTGATGACGCCACTACACTCTATCTAGTCTGGGCAACAGCATGATACTTTGCCTCAAATAAATTGTTTCAACATCATTTGTTTAAAAAGACTATCCTTTCCCCATTGAATTAACTTGGTACCATTCTTAAAACTCAGTTGGCCACATGTGAATCTATTTTTAGACTCTCTTTTCTGTACCATTGATCTATACTTTTGTTCTTACACCAAAGCCACACTATCTTGATTACTACTCCATGTCCTAAAATTCAGTACTCTGAGTCCTTCATCTTTTTTTTTTCCACGAGTATTTTGTCTAAGTGTTGGTCTGTAAGTGGAAAATGCAATGTGTTAATATATAAAACTGTATTTAAAATTGGCATCATAAAAAAAAGAATGTCGATTTATTGAGCACTTTACTGTGTGCTAGGTGGTGTGCTAAGCATCCTTTTCATGGGTTTTTATATTTTATCCTCACAAAACCCCAATGAAGTAGATCCTATTATTATCCCCAGTTTACAGATAAGGGAAACAGAGACTCTGAAAGGTCAAGTTATTTATTCCATGTCACACAGCTAGTAAATTGAGGAGCTGGAATTTGAAACTAGGTCTTTTTATTCCAGGGCTAAAGCTCCTTTAAAACAATACACTATGGGGCAGTGGTTAGGAGTAACTCATTTGAAATGTTAATGAGTCTCAGGCAGGCATGTGTGTTTCTACCTCACAAAAATATACTCTTATTTTCAGGGGCAGTGACTAAAATGCAGCTAGAATAGCCCAGAACAATTAATAGATTCATGAAATCTCAGCTTATACTTCATTTCTAATAGCCAAATATTTTAAGTACCATTTATGATTTGATCATTTAAAGCATAAGAATGTCTTGACTAAACTTTAGCTCCTGCAGTAGAATGACCATACTGGTTATATCCTTAGGCAGTTTTATCTGTTAATAGTCTGACAGCTGCTGAACAAAACATGATTCCACATGATTATAGTTTGGCCTGGGCACAGTGGCTCATGCCTATAATCCTAGCACTTTGAGAGGCTAAACTTTAGGATCACTTGAGGCCTAGAGTTCGAGACCAGCCTGGGCAACATAGCAAAATCCCATCTCTACAAAAATTGAGAACTATTAGCTAGACGTGGTGGCACATGCCCGTAGTCCTAGCTGCTCTAGAGGCTGAGGCAAGAGGATCCCTTGCCAGGAGTTTGTGGTTGCAGTGAATGAGCTATGATGATGCCACTGCACCCTATTCCAGGCTGCAGAGCAAAACACTGTTGACGAATATTTAAATAATTTATTTAAAGAATAAGCAGAATCATTTCATTAATTTGTTGGTGGTGGTTCTCTGGTACTGGCATTTCTGGGCTTTAACCAGAAAACAGTACTCTGTTAGCACCCAAATAAGGTTCATTTTTACCTTTTAAAAGACAAATAACAAATATATAAAAGATGATAGAGTGAGAGGTTTTGATTGTTGGGATGAGAAGTGGCCTTTGGTCAAGCTTATAAACCCTCATATTTGTTAGCTCTGTAAATCTTACTCCACGTTTCATGAGTTTTCCTTTTCTGGGATGCAAACAAATAACCTACACAAAAAGCAGCCCTGAAATCCCCAAAGGCCTGTGTCCAAGGAGGTTCTTATTAATCATTTTTAGTCTACATCATAGACAACAGTGGCATTTATGGTAGAAAACATCCAGCTCTGAACACCAAGGGCTTGCTGTTTACAGTGTCTGCTCTTTCCATGTACATAGAATGACATTACGCCATTCTTGAAAATATACTTTCAGCTGTGTATCCTTACTTTGTAAAGAGCTCTGCATATAGGATTTAACATTGAGAAAATAGGGCAAGCCTGTGCCTTAAATAGCCAATGTGGATTATCTAAACTTGGAACAGTTTTATGGCATGTTCCACATACAGTGTGTCTAAGCAGGAATGAACACTATGATTAAATGGATCTCTCTGCCAGATAGGCATATATACCAAAGATCCATCAAATTACTTTGAAAAGTACCTAGTTTTACTCATTTGTGGTTATCCTGTAAAGAAAATCGTACTTTCTTCAGAGTACCAAAAGTTTCTATTGATTCCTAAATCTTCTTATAGTGTTTCCCAGCTTCAAGACTGAGTATGATCCTTGTCTCCTCTTTTTTCCTCATATCCATATCCAGTCTATCAGCGAATTCAGTTGGATCTGCCTTCAGAATATACACTGAATCCTGTTATTTCTCACCACTTCTACAGCTACTGCTATAGTCTAGGAGATTGTCATCTCTTCTATGGACTGTTAAAGTAGTCTCTTAATTGGCCTTCTTACTTCCATTTAGTTCCCTATGTTCTATTCTCTACACAGCCATGGTCCTTTTAAAAGGTGTTAGATTGTGACACTCTCATGCTTCTGGGTGTTTATCCATGTGGCCTCTCTCTGTGTAGCTTCTCATCCTCCATACTTCTCTCTCTAGCAGAGTAGCCTGAGGTTCTTATATGGTGACTCTACAGAGTCTCTATAAAGGTATAAGCAGAAGCTACCTGGGCTTAGAAGTCCCAGAATGGGACTTTCTCCACATTCTATTAGTCAAAGCCCAGATTCTAAAGGCTAGGGCAAAAGTCCAACTTTTGATGGGAGAAACAGTATTCGTGTAGAGGGAGCACTAGATTATTCAGGGCCATCTTTGGAGATTAGCTACCACACCTGAATGACCTGGATTATTTGGCCCAGACTACTACTCCAACCTTTTTTCTCTTTGTTCATCCTATTCCTGCCACACCAATCCTTGTTCCTCTAACATGCCAGGCAGACTGCCACCCAGGATCTTTGCTCTCAGAATTCCTATTGCCTAGACCATTCTTCCCTCATGTAACAAAATGTGTACTTCCCACATTTCTTTCGTGTCTTAATTCAAATGTCACCTCTTTCTGCAAACTATCTAATTGCTTAGACTTAAAAAAAACTGTACTAGTTTTTTTCAATTGTTGTATAACAAATCACCATAAACTTAGTAAAACAATACCCATTTATTAGCATATAGTTCTATAGGTCAGAAGTCTGGCACAGCATGGCTGCATTCTCTACTCTAGGTATCACACGTCTGAAATCAATCAAAATGTTGACTGAGTTCTCACTGGGAGCTCTTGGGGGAAATCTTCTTCTCAGCTTATTCTTGTTGGCAAAATTCAGTTCCTTGCCATTGTAGGACTGACGTCTCCATGTTTCCTTGCTGGCTGTTAGCCACAGGCTCTGCAACTAGAACCTGACCACATTCCTGGCCACATGGCCCTCTTCCTCTTCTACAACCAATTGGAGAAAACTCTTTTTAAAAATTGGTACATTTATTAAACATAGAGTAATGGTCCTGTGCTCAAATGTGATTGTGTTTGTGTGCTGACTTCCATAAAAATGTAGCTAATTATAAGAGACTCTTCATAAATATACTCCAGACAGAAGTAAAAATGTAAACAGAAATGGACTGACAAGACAGTGCCATTTCAGACATAGTTCCTTTAAAATTAATACTTCCTAGAAAATGGAGTTTGATATTTACAATTATGCCAGCATTCACAGAGGCACACTATGACCATGAGACATTTTTCATACTTCCCAAATAGTTTTATATTTTCGTTTTGAAGGTCAGTTAGCAGAGCCAGACTTCTTCTTAACAGGTAGAATTTTTATGTTCATCAAAGTCTCTTACCCCTTTCTCAGCCTATTCATTTGCATATACTATAACCAGATGCTTCATATCATGCATCATGATGCCCAACCTTAATATGTTGACCAATTGCTTTAAGATAAAAGGAGTGACTTGCAGCAAGGCCATGTAGATGAGGAAGTTTCATACAGAGGAGATCACATCCTCATATATATTCTGTTTATTCTCCTCTGGATCCAGCTTCAGCGCAAGCCTCTCTGCTTTTAAAGGCCTCGTTTGATTAGATCAGGCTCACCTGAATAATCTCCCTACCTTAACTTCAGCTGATTTGGGTGCTTATTTTAATCACAGCAAGTACCTATATTACTATTTATTTGAATAGCAGAGAAGGTATGTGTACACCAGGAGCCAAGAATCTTGGGGGATCCTCTTACAATTTTGCCTACCACGATAACATATACTGTTTTTCTGTCCCTTCATCCTGCTTTATGTTTCCCCGTAGCACTATCTACATTATATTTTGTACTCGTTTGCTTATGTTTTTAATGTGCCTTCCACACTGGAAGGCATGTTATTGATGATAAAGACTGTCATTTCTATGCATTGTTGTATTCCTAGCACCAACATCAGTGTTTGGCACATTGTAGATGCATGGGAGACTTCTTATTTGACTCTTAAAAAACAAGTGATGAGCAAGTGATTGTATAAATTTCCAGTAACTGGTATATACAAGAAAAAGCAAATTAATTTTGTTGTTTGCTAGTATTAATAATAATAATGTGCTTTCAACTTTCAGTTATCATCTGTGTATCTCTAAATAATAAGAATATCTTCCTGTGAACTTTTAGAAATGGATGCTTAGTCTTCTAGGAATATACCTGATTACTGACTTAACTGTGGTATTTCTGAGGCTTTACATATAATTGCTATTCACAAATTTCCAAATACTATTTAATAGAATAACAAACTGGGCTCAATCATATAGATATAACGTAGCATGCCAGATCAGAGGTTTTATTTATATTTATATATATATACACACATACACACACACACACATATATATCCCTCATTTTCAGTATTAATTATATGTTTCTTTTAATCCTCGCCTTCTACAGACAAAGCTTGCCAATGGCACTTCCAGCATGATTGTGCCCAAGCAACGGAAACTGTCTGCAAGCTATGAAAAGGAAAAGGAACTGTGTGTCAAGTATTTTGAGCAGTGGTCAGAGTCCGATCAAGTGGAATTTGTGGAACATCTTATATCCCAAATGTGTCATTACCAACATGGGCACATAAACTCATATCTTAAACCTATGTTGCAGAGGGATTTCATAACTGCTCTGCCAGGTATGTCTACAAGTGTTTATAAACCATTAATTTGCTACAGTGATAATGGAACTAGATCTCTAGCTATACATCTCTCTATTAAAAGACTTATTGGCTTGATTTTATAAATTGAGTCCTTTAATTGTACCTTCTTGATATAAATACAAAAAAGCCCACCAAACTCTAGAAATTAAGATTCTACTTTTACGTGTATTCTCTTTATTACATATCCTGCTATCCACCTCCCCCACTTATTTATTTATTTATTTTTTGAGACAGGGTCTCCCTTTGTTGCTCTGGGTACAATATCACAGCTCACTGCAGCCTTGAACTCCTGGGCTCAAGTGATCCTCCTGCCTTGGCCTCCATAAGTGCTTACAAGTGTAAGCCACCATGCCTGGCCAAGAAACATTTTTACTTGAGTGTTTTTTAAAAAAAAGAAGCATATATCTCAGGAGCCTTGTCATGATGTTAAATAAATAAATATAAATGTTTAAAATACTTTTTTCTTGGAGGATGCTGTGGTTTTTCTGAATGCTTAATGGTGACCTCAACACTACAAAGTCATCCATATGTGGGGGAAATGCTATCTCAGGAAAATACAGGGCTCTCTTGTATTAAAAGTTTATTTTATTTTATTTTATTTTTTTTCAGCCAGATGTTTGGGAAGCTATTAAAAGTTTATTTTAAAAGAAAAAATAGTACAAAAATGATGAATCTTACTTAAAATATCATATCATATTGTGGGGGATTGGTTTTCTGATTATAGGAAATTTAGAAAATATAAAAAAAGCGTAAAATATAAAAATAATATTTCTCAGAAAGTCACCTTTCAAAGAGAACTACAAATGTGCTACTAGTATTATGGCATGTAGCCTTTCTGTTTTTTCCAGGCATATGTATTTCCCTATAAAGCCATGATCATAAATGTTTTATAGCATTTTTTCTTAATACATTCTTTTAACATATTTTCGTAAACGCGTGTTCTTTTAAAACATACTTTTCAGTTGTTGCATAGCATCTTAACAATGGTTGAAGCACAGATTATTTAACCCTTTACTGAACAATTTAAGTAGTTTTAGATTTTTTTTTCCTATTACATACTATGCTATAGTGAACATTCTTATACATTAATCTTGTGGGCGTTCTAGGAAAAAAATACTAGAAATGGAATTGCTATATTAAAGAGTATGAACATTTTTAAGGCTTTTAATACATGCTGCCAAACTGTCTTCTAAGAAAAATAAACAAACTTGTAGCCTCTCCAAAACTGTGTGTTACTATTAATACTTTGTTTTATGTTTGCCAGTTACATCTTTTAAAAAGTTTTTTTTCTACACTACAAATTTCTACTTCCCTTTAAAAGAAATCCCTATTTATATCTTTAAAAAATGTACTTTAAAACTGAATTTTACCTATATCTTTTGTTAAATAGAGTAGATTTTTGCCCCTGTAACTCACTGGACTTTGTTTTAGCCATAGGCAGACAGTTTTCTTACCAACAATCTGTGTGTACCTCATTACTTTGTTCTCCCCAGTCACTGAGACATGGTACTATCTCAAGCTTATACCACTAAGAATTGAACAGGAGTTGATTAGACCTGTGTATCCTTTGCCTAATATTGATTCCTAGTGTGTATCTGCTGACCACTCTATGAGATATTAAATCATCAGTCTAATGCTTTATGGCCATTTAAACTTACAAACTTGTACCATCCTGGCTATGTTTAGTAAACCAAACTACTTCAAAAAATGCCTGTAATCCATTCATGTAATGGGTTTGTTTGGAATGTTAGGTGAAATTACTTCCAAAGAATTATTATAGGTTCATAGTGAGTGATCAGGCAGCCATTAAAAATACAGGAATGCATTTTGGAAATTTCTGATGGTGTAGAAAGTTTCAACTTTAAGATTCAGAAATTATACCATCACTGTATTTTGCATGAAGAACTAATTATTATATCCTTAATTGGCTTATAGTCATGTTCCTTTAATAAGAATTAGGTGATGGATGTCTCCATCTGCTTATGCTTAAATATGAACATGTGATGCCAGCCAAACAAGATCCATTTAATGCTTTTTTTCCCAAATCTGCTGAAAAGTGTGACTGATATCCGTACAATCTTTATAATTAGAATAATGTTTAAGCCCATTTGAATTGTTGCTAATGGCATCCAAGTGCATCTCTATGATTTAGGGGAAAGGCAAAAAATGAAATACAGTGTTCTCTAAGTTTGTGCCTAAGGGAGTTACAGTATGAAGGAATCCTTCTGAACTATTTAAGTCTTTAGAAAACCTGATATGTAACCTGTAAAGAGGAATAACTGAATGTTTTTGTCTCACTTGTGAATTTAGAACAACAATCAAAAGAAGGTTTTAGTGAGATCATCCTATTTTATAGGATCTTTTCTTCTGATGCCTCAGTACATATTTGGTTAGAGGAGAATTTAATTGGGAAGCCCATCTGGTTTACACCCCAAAGATCTACTCTCCACTGTTTTCCTCCCCACATCCTACAAAATATACTCTCAAATGCTAACCAAGTTATCTATTGGTCTGGGATTTTTTTTTTTTTTCATTTTTGCTCAACTGTCATTTAGGTTTTATAGCAGCAGTTTTTCTCAAATACAGTTTTTTTTAAACATCTGAAATAAACTCATCCTTGATCTTAAACATACCTCTCTTTCTCTCGGGATGTTCCCATACCAGTCTGTACTTCCTTCTCTCCTTTCTGCATGTCCAAAATTCTATAACCCAGCACATTCTGACTTAGTGCTTCTCTCCCAGTACATTTAAAGGATATTTCTTTTACTGAACAGCTTTGGAACTGCAGCAGTAATAGAAACAGAATGAGAAATGGACCTAATATAGAGATTTGGGGGGGTCTGAATCACAGAGTTTGAGATGCCATCCATAGAACATCCCCTAGTGCTGAAATCCATATAGATAGATGTGAATTGTTTTCTGGAATCCTTTTTATTTTTAATGTCTTGGGGGGGTTGCTGGTTGTTAGCTTTAACTTCCTTATCTAAAGGAAGATGGAAAATACTGTTCATTTCTGTAACCTTATGGAAAAATTATTGACACTCATTTTACCCAAGCCTATATTTGAAAAAGAAACTGAACCACACTAGGGACAATGATGTGCCTTCATAGCACAGCAAATGCTTTTCTGTTTTAAAGGACCTTTTGTAAAAAATCATTCATCACCCCCTATGTTCTTTTTCTTTGCCTCCTCCCCCCATTGAAAGCTCGGGGTTTGGATCATATTGCTGAGAATATTCTGTCATACCTGGATGCCAAATCATTATGTGCTGCTGAACTAGTGTGTAAGGAATGGTACCGAGTGACATCTGATGGCATGTTATGGAAGAAGCTCATCGAGAGAATGGTCAGGACAGATTCTCTGTGGAGAGGCCTGGCAGAACGAAGAGGGTGGTGAGCCTTTTAGCTTTCTTACTCTTATAGAGCATCAAGACCTGGCCAATCAGAGTCATTGGAAGATTGTTAGGAACCACTGAGACTACTTGTCATTTAAAACAGTGATTTTGCTGATTTGTAGCAAAAATGTGACAGAATAGTTTATGAACTCAGCAGTTTTTCTTCCCACCATTCACTCATAAAATGACATAATATTGTATTAATATTGCTTTGCAAAATAATGGAAAACTGACCAGCCCTCCTGTTTAATGCATTCTGTTCTCTGGGCAGAAATTGGTATCGTGCAAAAGGGATGATGGGCAATTTATAATGCAAGTAGATGTCTTTGAATAAGACAGAAATCATCAGATCTTTCCCCTAAAATAATGGACAAATGATTTTCTTTTCCTTCAGAAGATTTCTGCCTTTAGCCTATGCCTCTGGTATTTTATCAAATATTATTTTTTATGCCCAGCTAGATTAATAATTCTAGCCATCAGAAAAAGTGAAAAATGAAATTTAGTATAAATCATTGTTTCTTCTTAAGACTTATATTTTCTCAAGATTTTCTTGCTTAATTCTGAGTTCCCTGAAGCATCTTATAGCTAGCAGCCTAGGGAACTTAACCAATTTTGTTGTTCTCTTAACAAAATGGCACCATTTCTTTAGAACTTCTGGAAAATGTCTTTGTTTTTAGAATTTTCTCTAAGACTATGTCTTTGGAATGTCACTATAAGAAAGTTAGGTATGGGCCGGGCGCGGTGGCTCACGCCTGTAATCCTACCTCTCTGGGAGGCCGAGGCGGGCGGATTGCTCGAGGTCGGGAGTTCAAAACCAGCCTGAGCAAGAGCGAGACCCCGTCTCTACTATAAAATAGAAAGAAACTAATTGGCCAACTAATATATATAGAAAAAATTAGCCTGGCATGGTGTGGCGCATGCCTGTAGTCCCAGCTACTCGGGAGACTGAGACAGAAGGATCGCTTGAGCCCAGGAGTTTGAGGTTGCTGTGAGCTAGGCTGACGCCACGGCACTCACTCTAGCCTAGGCAACAAAGTGAGACTCTGTCTCAAAAAAAAAAAAAAAAAGTTAGGTATGAATAGTTCATAAATAAAATAAAGGTGCCATTACATATTTTAGTTGATAGAAAAAATGATAAGTAGGCATTTGTATGCTCAGTTATATCCTTCTAAGTTAATTTTATCAATTGTTTATCTAGGATTGTAAACAGATACGAAATATTTCAGAATGAAGAATACTTTTTAAAAGATAAATACTCATGTGGATCTGCTTTCTCTATTTAGAATTTTCATTAAAATGTTGGCTTTTTTCCTTTGGTCTTTGAAATTCATTAACACATAATAAAAATATAACCTCTAAATGTTATATGAAGTGCTTCAGAGATTTTTGTCATTCTAGCTGTTAGGAAGACTTTTTAAAATCTGCTCTCAAATTCAATTAAAGTAATCAAAAACCAGGCAATTCTTTAACTGTGTAACAATTGTATAAATAAAAGAAGGTTAGAATATTGTTATTTCTTCTCAAATATGTTTTTTATTCTCACTTATTTCACTATTTGAAAAATAAAAATCTTATCTTTCATACTTTGGAAGTAAATTATTTAATGGTATAACAAAGCAAATAAGAATACAGTTATATGACATTCAGAGTCTATCATTTTGCCAAGAGTACCAGGATAAGCCTTTGAAATAGCTATAGACAACTGCTTACATGGGGAAATTTTAGGGCAGCTAGGGAAGACTTCTGAGGATTCCTCAGAAAAAAGAAAAACGGTCCTCCAGATTAATTCCTGACCTGAAACTTCGGTAATGGAGATTCATTCCCTTAGCTATAAAAGTTTTCTTCCCTATTAAAATCCACTATGTTCCCTGTAAATGACAAGAAACCTTCCTCAGACACTGGGCATTTACTAAGTCCTTTTTTAAAAGGCTGAGAGAAGAGGAAGTAAGTGGCAGTTCTTGGCAGATAGATGTGAAAATTGCCAAAGGTAAAATAGGCTCCACAATTTTGCTTAGGGTTGTCACGAAACAACTAGATCTGTTATGTTAGTTACAAAGAAAAAAATAAGATCATTGACAAGATAGCTTTTGGGCCTTTTAACACACTGACTGCCACACTAGAAAAAAAATTTTTTTTCCTTGGGGGCCGCAGTGTTTTATTAGAAAAATAGAATAAAAACTTTCGACCAGGCGTGGTTGTTCACGCCTATAATCCTAGCACTCTGGGAGGCCAACGTAAGAGGATAGAGATAGGAGGATCTCTAGAGGTCAAGAATTCGAGATCAGCCTGAGCAAGAGTGAGACATCATCTCTACTAAAAATAGAAAAATGAGCCAGGTGTGGTGGCACATGCCTGCAGTCCCAGCTACTTGGGAAGCTGAGGCATGAGGATCACTTGAGCCCAGGAATTTGAGGTTGCTATGAGCTAGGCTAACACCACAGCACTCTAGCCCAGGCGAGAGAGCAAGACTCTGTCTCAAAAAAAAAAGAATAAAATTTTTGAAAACAAAATGATGCTTTCTAATTTAATGAAAATTTTGTTATTTTTAATTTTTTGTGTGCATGAATTATATGCAACATGAAAAGTAGTTCTCGTAGCTCCCAGGGTGAAGAGACTTGTGAGTTACATATGCTTCACAAAGCCCAGGACTCAAAACTAATGTGAGTTAAATGCAACTCACAAGGCAGTTAATGTGTTAAAAGAGTATGTGACGGTATACCTGGGAAATAATCCAGGGTCCAGTACTGATTACCTCTCTCTCCTCTATCTCTTCAAGCACAGATACCCATTCCTGCTCTTTTGAATATTCTTTAGAGTTCTGACTATAGTCCGCTGTCTTTGGCCACATTTGTCCTCATAACTTGATATACTTCATGAAAATAGAAATACTCATCCATTCCATGTAGACCTCCTCCAGTATTCCCCTCATTTTCTTATTGCTGCTTCAATTTTTACATTTTGCCTTTCTTCCTGTGTCAGTTGTCCTCCCTTGCTTTGAAAAAAAATTAATTTGTGATCAGTTTCTCTTCTTTCAAGTTGTCTTACCAAGCCTATTAAGTCAGTAATGTCTGTTATACCTTTTCCCATTTGCTATCTTTGAAAGTTTCTTCCATTTCTTTCAACCAAAAGTAAGTAAATAAATATAGTTTTCTAACAAAAGCTTTGGGTCTCTAAGATTTAACTTCCACTTTGTTGTTATTTTTTATATCTAGATGGATTTGACAGTCTAGGACATGAACTCCGTCATTTTCTTTCTTGACTAATTCTGAAAAATGCTCTCTCTGCTCAGTAGTGGTAACTCTTTCAATAAAAGACCACTTGGGAAAAGTCCATTTTCTTAATCAGCAGATCACATTTTATGACAACATTCTGAATTTAATATTTAACATTTATCACATACTCACATTCTTACAGGTACTAGGCATTTCACATAGAAGTGGTCCCTGTTGTCAACGAGTTTCCATCATGAAAAGTTTTGACTTAAAACGTAAATACAGACTGAGAAGCCAGTTTTCAACACCTATCCACTCCTTTTTCTAGCACCTTTGATTTGAAGAAATACAGATATTTTACCAAGACATAACAAATGCATTTAAATAGAAAACAAGCTCAAAAGTTTGTATGAGTTCTCTTTCCTTAGGAGATAGAGATAGTATCATTGCATATGAAGAAAATCCTGGAGTGCCTGTATAAAATTGCCAGAGATTAAAAAGAAGACAGGAATCTCAGTTATGGTGGGCATTGAGAAACAGTAAAGTAGTTAAGAGTGTGGGCTCAGGAGTCAAACCTAAAATCTTTGCATTCAAAATCTATTATTTGCCTGCAAAGTGTTTATAGAATAAGATTGTTCAGAGAAGTGTACCTTTAATCCTGGATGATTTTATAATGTATCTTGTTTGCCCTTTTCCTTATGCTGGTATATTACGTTTTATTAGGCCACTTTTTTTTTTTTTTTTTTTTGAGACAGAGTCTCGCTTTGTTGTCCAGGCTAGAGTGAGTGCCGTGGCGTCAGCCTAGCTCACAGCAACCTCAAACTCCTGGGCTCGAGTGATCCTCCTGCCTCAGCCTCCCGAGTAGCTGGGACTACAGGCATGCGCCACCATGCCCAGCTAATTTTTTATATATATATCAGTTGGCCAATTAATTTCTTTCTATTTATAGTAGAGATGGGGTCTCGCTCTTGCTCAGGCTGGTTTTGAACTCCTGACCTTGAGCAATCCGCCCACCTCGGCCTCCCAAGAGCTAGGATTACAGGCGTGAGCCACAGCGCCCGGCCTATTAGGCCACTTTTTAAAAACTATTACTTTTGCTTCTCCATTGCAGAATTTTCTTTTCTGTATTAACATGGAAGTTAGAGCCAAAGCCTTCCTGATAGGAAATTTTCTCAACTAATCTTCAAGGTGTATAATAGGGAGAGGGCAGGGGAGAAGAGCTCCTGGAGACATTGAACAATTAATTATATTGTAATGGAGCTATAGAGGGAGGAGTGGATGACTGGCCCAGAGAAAACATGATTTCTCTGGTGCCAGGATTACACTCAGAGGCATTTCTGCCTATCTCCACTTTGCAAGGCACAGTGCCAGTGAGAACAGCAGTTAGTACACCCATAGTGGGGTTTACTAGCTTCCACACCGTGTTTGGTGGGTTCTTAACTTCAGGATGAGGAATTAAATTTTTTGCCCAGCAGGAAGTGATTGCCATTTACTGATTTTTTTTGTAACAAAGATCTAGCTTGGGATATGAGTATTCCAGAGATGTGCTGTCATAAGGAAGGAGATACTAACAAATGTTGCTCACTGGAATCAGAAAAAGCAGTAAAATGCATATATGTACGTACATAGCCAGGAACACACCTGTGAAAGTCAATTTCATGACTTAGATTTGACAGCACAGTGCTGTTAGGTATTTTTTTCATCTTCTTCCCTACCTGCTGCTGGACACTCCTGTGATCCCTTTGTTTTCTGTGGAAATTAACTGAATTGTTCCTTTCAAATCGTAGCTGCACTGATCACCAGCAGCCTGGGTGACTGAGCAACCTTATCCCACACAAAGACCTAGAAAAAGTGATCTCTGTGACAGAGGCATTGCTGCTGCCCACCATGCAGGGCTCCACTGACATAGCTTTTCTTAGTGAAACAAAGTGACACTGGAGCATGTGCTAGTTGAAAGTAATAGTTACTGTTACAAAGAAAATTTTCAAATTGTGAGGCCAGTGATTCTATACAGAAATCTAATAGACCAGTAGGTGAATTCTGATTGTAAATATTCCATTTATCTGTTGATGTTATAATATTCTTAAAGGCCTGATATTCTGATTCTACATTAGAAATAATCGTGTTTTACCCAAAAGCAAATCAATGTTGATAGAATTACTTAGAGTCCAGAAAGTTACTCCTTGACATGAGACTCCTAAAATTAGGCGTAAGTTCACACTTCCCCAGGCTAGTTATGGAGATTCTATGGAATGTTAACTGTGAAAATATTTGAAGAAATGTGAAGCTCCTTGTAAATTTATAATATTATGATTTTCATTTGGGAAATATTTGTTATTTTTATAGGGGACAGTATTTATTCAAAAACAAACCTCCTGATGGGAATGCTCCTCCCAACTCTTTTTATAGAGCACTTTATCCTAAAATTATACAAGACATTGAGGTAAGAATCTATGTATTTGGGGATATTTGCCAAATGGTAGAGAATTATCAACATTCCTTAGTCACAGTATTGTTAGGGCAAACCCATTAAGGTTTATTTATGTGGGTTAAAAATCTCTTTACATGTGAGTAGGGTGAGTAAAATATAATAACTTGCTAGGCAAAATTTTTAAAGCTTTTAAAAATTGTTTACTGATAGATAAATAGATGAAAATAGATGAGGGAAAATGATACTCTCATATAATAGTTGTGAGACTGTTCAATTTGTACTCATAAGCTGATATTTCAGTATTTTCTGAATTTAGTCTCCATAGAAGTTCATGGGTAGAAACATATAAAAGAAGAACACTGAGCACATAACCTCACATAGTTCAAAGCTGGCCCTCTCTTACTGAGTAGTCTCCTTCCACCAGATTTATTATTTAATTGATTGAGTTATATGTAGAAAAAAGGTCTAGAAAATAAATCTTTACTTATCTTGCTAATGGAAAAATGTTTTATAAATTTAAATAGTAGCTTTTTGAAGCCATAATTTTAGTTTGCCTTAAGTTTTATATCTCCCATAGAGTGAGGCATTGAGCCATTGGTTGCTATTAAAGTCAGAGAAGAGTTTGGTTCTGGTCCTTTCGTAATTACTGCCTCTTTACCATTCCTTCTCAGACAATAGAATCTAATTGGAGATGTGGAAGACATAGTTTACAAAGAATCCACTGCCGAAGTGAAACAAGCAAAGGAGTTTACTGTTTACAGTATGATGATCAGAAAATAGTAAGCGGCCTTAGAGACAACACAATCAAGGTGAGGTTTCTTCAGTTTCGGGAGGGTAGGTACCACACTCATCATGCAATCCAAATCATAAACTCTAAGCATTTTTTCTAGAAAGTAAGCGAAAATTTTAGATTGTTTTCAGTCCCAAAAAGCCAAAATCATTTCCTTAAAGGACAGACATCTGCTTCCCCCAAAAGAGTTAAATTGTCTTCTTGAAGTGCACTGAATGGGCTTATTACTCTTTTGGCCTTCACATAATTATAGGCTACCCCTGTTCCGTAATGAAAAGGATAAAGTTTGCATTAGGACTGAGACCATACATATATAAGTGCTTAGCTATACTCACAGAGAAGAATGCATTCCACACTACGCTAGGCTGTGATTCTTTTGGTGGAATCAAACACATAATAGGGCCAACAAGTCTCCACAGCACTCCATTATCACGGTGATCAAAAGGATCTTGTTTGCCATCCTAGATCTGGGATAAAAGCACATTGGAATGCAAGCGAATTCTCACAGGCCACACGGGTTCTGTCCTGTGTCTCCAGTATGATGAGAGGGTGATCATAACTGGATCATCGGATTCCACGGTCAGGTAGAAAATTTCAAATGTTCTTTTGAACTCTGAAATGTCAGCTCTGCTCTATTCTTTGTCATAGATAGTAATTTTATATATATCAGCATGAATACAGTTCTGAAACTAAAAAAGAATAAACCATCAGGCCGCCCCTGCCAACACCCATCTTTTGTGTCAATCTAGAACGAGAAAACTTGATTTAGGAATGATCGCAGTAGATTTACATTTTTGTGCATTTAAGATTCTATTTTTATTTGGAGAATTGTCCATTATAGAAAGTTTTCTTATCTTTATGGTAAACCATGCATTATTTACAAAAACCACCTCACAGGGGAATGACATGAATGCCATGAAGCCTTCTTTTCAGGAGGTTATAACTATAGCACAGGCCTCCTTTAAAATGTGTACAGGTGAACAGTGCTCTCTCTTTGCCAGCCCCTCCTCTGCCATCCCTGCAGTTTTTAATTGTGATCTTCACTCAGGGAGGGGCCTTCAATTTCCAGAGGCATCGGTGATTTGATGACACAGCCATTATGCTGCTGGAGTCCGGGAAGCTTGAGTTCTGGGAACCAGCCGTGCTGCTGGAAACCTCTGTTAGGAATTTTGCCTTAAGCTAAAGGATTTAGCAAACATAATGCATCAAAAGTAACTTTAAAAAAAAGAAACCTAGAAGAAAAGCAGTTAACTGCATTGTTAGATTCTCTAAAGTTAAATGTTTACCATTCCAAGTTATCCTCTGTGAATAGGAAAGGCTGTTCCTATTTTTTGTCTTATGACTTAAAGGCATAGCAAACTCAGTCTTTGTAGTTATCGATATTTAACATTTATTGGTGCTTGTGGAGTGCCTTATGGAAGCTGAAACATTGTAGATGCTAACATCATTTATAGGGTAAGGGAGGAAATGATTTTCTAAAAAGGAGGGCTAAACTGAGAAAAGGGAATAAAATGTTTTTAAACCCAAAGTAGATACCCAAAAATAGAGTAATCAAAGTAAAGCATATCATCACACAAAATTCTCAAGTTATCCAAGTGTCCCACACTCTTCTGAGAATCCCATGTTTATAGTGGGAGGGCTTTTCTTGACCCCAAACTCCTTCAAAGCACTGAAATGGGGAGTTGGACTTAGATCTGGGTAATCTTGGCCTTTGACCTGTGTAATGAACCCTAAAATCCAGGGTAATCAACTCAAATTCACATTACTGCTTGTGTGGCAGAAGCATCTTGGCCTCTGTCAGTTCTGATTCCTGAGAGCTGTTGATGGGGTGGGCACTAATGCTGCTGATATTAATCAGATTTCCCACTTAAACTGTATCTTATTAATGGTATCAATTTAAATGTCAGAAGTTCTATAATCTTCATGTCTGGGCCAAATTATTAAGTGATGATGGCCGCTGCCTCATCCCTACCCTCCACACCTTGCCCTCATTTCAAGCCGTGTGTCTTAATGATTTCACATTGGCAGCATCTCCTCTCCTTCCTTTTCCCACTCTCCCAATGCAGACCCTTTCTCATCTACCACTTCCCCATGGTCCATCAGTACTCTCTACCTTAGCTACACCTCAATGATGTAAAAGAAGAGTAAAGTTATAATCCTTCCCATGAAAATATGGACAGTGGCGGAGAGCATGATGTTCAAAAACGGGTAACAAATTATAGTTGAATGCCATCTAAATCTCAGATATTCCTTGCAGAGTGTGGGATGTAAATACAGGTGAAATGCTGAACACACTGATTCACCATTGTGAAGCAGTTCTGCACTTGCGTTTCAATAATGGCATGATGGTGACCTGCTCCAAAGACCGTTCCATTGCTGTGTGGGATATGGCCTCCCCAACAGACATTACTCTCCGGAGGGTGCTGGTCGGACACCGAGCTGCTGTCAATGTTGTAGACTTTGATGACAAGTACATAGTTTCTGCATCTGGGGATCGAACTATAAAGGTAATAAGGCATTTTTCAGTAAGTCCCCAACTTAGAATAGGGGAGTTCATATGAAGATTTAATCAAGGGCAATTTCATATTTTGTTTTGTTTTCTTTTGTTTTTTGAGACAGAGTCTCACTCTGTTGCCCCGGCTAGAGTGCTGTGGCATCAGCTTAGCTCACAGCAACCTCAAACCCCTGGGCTCAAGTGATCCTACTGCCTTAGCCTCCCAAGTAGCTGGGACTACAGGCACGCACCACCATTCCTGGCTAATTTTTTCTATATATATTTTATTTTAGTTGGCCAATTAATTTCTTTCTATTTTTAGTAGAGAAGGGGTCTCGTTCTTGCTCAGGCTGGTCTCGAACTCCTGACCTCGATCGATCCGCCCGCCTCGGCCTCCCAGAGTGCTAGGATTACAGGCGTGAGCCACCACGCCCGGACCAATTTCATATTTAAACATCACTGTAGAATAAGAAAATGTAGGCCAGGCACGTTGGCTCACGCCTGTAATCCTAGCACTCTGGGAGGCCGAGGCGGGCGGATCGATCGAGGTCAGGAGTTCGAGACCAGCCTGAGCAAGAACGAGACCCCTTCTCTACTAAAAATAGAAAGAAATTAATTGGCCAACTAAAAACATACAGAAAAAATTAGCCAGACATGGTGGTGCATGCCTGTAGTCCCAGCTACTTGGGAGGCTGAGGCAGAAGGATCACTTGAGCCCAGGAGTTTGAGGTTGCTTTGAGCTAGGCTGATGCCACTGCACTCTAGCTCAGGCAACAGAGTGAGACTCTGTCTCAAAAAAAAAAAAAAAAGAAAAGAAAATATTTAATTCAGAGACTAGTCTATGGGTAAAACAGTTACAAATGAGACAAGTTGTACGACAATTTTGACTAGGTATTTTATTCCTATAAATAATGGTGAGTGCGAGAAGAGCAGGGGTAAACTTAGGTTCAAGAAAGTATATCTAGAAGACCAAACTAACCCCGTAAGAGTAAACCAATTTTAGGAATTCTCATATCATAGCAGCCAACTACAAATTAGCCCTATATTATCATGAATTAAAATTCATGTCTTTATTTGTTTGAGAAGTTGACTTCCCCCTAATGATTCAGTCCTGTATTCTGCTTCCACAAGACTACCATTGCCATAGATTTTTATCAGGATAAGCACCAAAATCAATTCCTCGATACCACTCTCTGTTTCAGGTATGGAACACAAGCACTTGTGAATTTGTGAGGACCTTAAATGGACACAAACGAGGCATTGCCTGTTTGCAATACAGAGACAGGCTGGTAGTGAGTGGCTCTTCTGACAACACTATCAGGTGAGCACCAGGTGCCCTTTCCTAGAAAGGATGGTTATTATACTCTAATTCGTTATTTGTGCACAGATCGTACCAACCTTCAGCTGTGTTATGTTTATAATCATCTGTTTTTCCTTTCTGTAACTTATTACAGGTTAAAAGTTTGCCCCAAGCAAAGATGCATAAAACAAAGACTTTTGCTAATGTCTTTCCTTCCTATTATAGTTTTATCACCAGCTAGACTTATTTCAGAGGTACTGCTTGAATAAGGAAGTGAGCAAGTAAGATAGGTAGATGAAAGTTAAAGGCCCTTTAATTTCTCCTGTCTATAAGTTTAAAAGTGCCAATAAATAGCTAAAGGCCTCTTCTCTTTGGCACTGTTTTTAAGAAAAGAAAAAAGATTTGTTTTCCTACTAGAAATTGTACAGTTTTATCTTAGCATTACATAATTGGCCAGAGAGTAACCTGTCTTTGAAATTATGAAGATTTCACAGTTGAAGTATTTTTTGGTGTTTTCCCTTCACAAGGATGAATGACACAGATAAGATTAGAATTTGGAAGATTTATCCATCCTCTCCCTTCCTTCACTGAAGTACCAAGAGGATGAAGAGGCCATTAGAACAACAAACAGAGCTACTGTTATGTCTAAGGAAATTATCCTTCCTATAAGTCACTTGGATTGGCCTGAAAGCATACAATTTTTTAAATTAGAACACAAAAGTTTTTGAGAACTGACTTTGTATTTCCATTGTATGAGAAAGACTTTCCTGGATAGTGGGCGAAAGCAGAGTGTCTCAGTGACAGAGATGCTTTGTGAGGGCAGGAGTCACCAACATTCTGGATCTCATTTGGAGTGGTGATTTCAGGAAGCATACTTTCTTGGCTTCTTTGTTTCCTTCTCAGAGAACTGTGTGCATAGAATTCATCCTTTTTATGTTTGGGAGAACCTGGTTACAGAATTATGTAAAACATTGTGCTTTGAAAATACATATTACATTTGAACTTAAACCATATACATTTTTCTGCCTGAGTTATATGGCAGAAAGGAAATAAATTACATTGAAAGCAATACATTTTTGAATGGGTGGTGATTGATTTTACTTTTGTGGATTTGTAAAAGATGTATGAGGTATATTATTATACCATTCCAGGCTTTGAAAAGAATACATGAAAATTCACTTGACTCAATTTTCTTTTCCAGATTATGGGACATAGAATGTGGTGCATGTTTGCGAGTGTTAGAAGGCCATGAGGAATTGGTGCGTTGTATTCGATTTGATAACAAGAGGATAGTCAGTGGGGCCTATGATGGGTGAGTTTGCCAACAGAGTTTTTAAAAAGTCCACATCTTTTTTTTTTCCAAAATACTAAGGGGGGGTACAAATGTTTTTGTCGCACGGATAGCTTTTATAATGCTTTAGTCAGGGCTATAAAAAAATCCACATCTTGGCTGGGTGCGGTGGCTCACGTGTGTAATCCTAGCACTCTGGGAGGCCAAGGCGGGTGGATTGCTCGAGGTCAGGAGTTCAAAACCAGCCTGAGCAAGAGCGAGACCCCGTCTCTACTATAAATAGAAATTAATTGGCCAACTAATATTATATAGAAAAAATTAGCCGGGCATGGTGGCGCATGCTTGTAGTCCCAGCTACTTGGGAGGCTGAGGCAGAAGGATTGCTTGAACCCAGGAGTTTGAGGTTGCTGTGAGCTAGGCTGACGCCACGGCACTCACTCTAGCCTGGGCAACAAAGTGAGACTCTGTCTCAAAAAAAACAAAAAAAAATATCCACATCTTTATCCCACCTGGTTTATGATGTTAATCATAACCTTTCTTTGTCTCTAAAAGCTTTTAGATTTTATAGAAAGTACCTGATCCAAGGCTGGGCGTGCTGGCTCATGCTTGTAATCATAGCACTCTGGGAGGCCGAGGCAGGCAGATTGCTCAAGGTCAGGAGTTCGAAGCCAGCCTGAGCAAGAGTGAGACCCCATCTCTACTAAAAAAATAGAAAGAAATTAATTGGCAACTAAAATATATAGGGAAAATTAGCTGGGCATGGTGGCACATGCCTGTAGTCCCAGCTACTCGGGAGGCTGAGGCAGGAGGATCGCTTGAGCCCAGGAGTTTGAGGTTGCTGTGAGCTAGGCTGATGCCACGGTACTCTAGCCCAGGCAACAGAGCAAGACTCTGTCTCAAAAAAAAAAGAAAAGAAAGTACCTGATCCAATATTCCTCTCTCTAATCCACCTCTCCTTTGTTTACTCTTTTCTAAAATATTCTTCCCAACCATTTTATTGTACTTGTTTGTGCATGATTTTCTTTAATATTTTAGTTATTTGGTTATATATTTGTCTGCTTTGCCCTATAAAGCAAAGAACCAGACAATCCGGTATAACAAGATATGCATGAAAAATGGTAACTTATTAACAAAATAGAAACACTAGAGGGCAGTATTTTGGGGGCTTAGTGTGGTAGGGTCTTGAATTTTGATCTCTGAGTAATTTCTAGAAGTATAGCTCTCTTGTCATCACTTCTGCTAACATTTCATTTAGAATGAGTTCAGTCATCTTGATTTTCTTCTAATTTTAGTTGTCGTGGAATCCATTCATGTTATTAATATATCATTGTGTCCAACAATGCTAAGCACAGAATAAATGCATACAAAAGTATATTCATTTATGAAGGACTCTTTATCATTACTTCTTGTCAGAGTACTTGATTTGGGAGGTGAGGGGTAGACAGCTACAGTTCAAATATTGGCAGTTTTTAAATATCAGAAACTACTTAAAACATTATCTTAGTTCACAAGCTGGCTATACTAACACATTAAGCCAACTCAAGCAGCACGAAATGTAGCCAACTCACTTCCTATGCTTCAAGTCAGCCATCATTGTCATACCCTTGGGAAATTGTTCAGGGTATGATGACATGTTCCCACTGGGTCAAGGCTATATTTTCTCATTGCCTTGGCTTTGATCTGTACCTACCTTTCTTAGGATTTGTCTGTTATATACCTTGAGGAAACCTGGCCTATTTTTTGAAAGGGCTAGACTATTCTTTAAATCAAAATATGAGGATTCGCTTATATAAATTCCAGTGCTCTTAAATGGACCCCAGTCCTCTGGTACATGTGACCTGGGCCATTCTTAGAACTGACCAGAAAGAGGGTGCCTCAGAGTTAATAGATTTCTAGGTCTAAGTAATTTCTTATCAGTAAGAGGTCTGCATACGATCTCCTCTTGATCCCAGAGTATGGTATAACTTTACCACTACTATCTTCAATTTGGTTAAAGCTAACCTGTTTCTCGTTTTTAGGTTAATCACGTACATTTTCCCATGTTAAGACCAATAACCTCTACCCAAGAATGAATGCAAGAACCAAGTCTACAAAACAAAAAAGTTTATATATATTCCTGTGAGCTGGATTTATCGTATAAACTGTATTCGCCATCCATATTTATTGCCATGACTTTTTGCTATTCTTCCCTGTGTTCTCTTAATTTTACTTTTAACTGAGATTTTTGTCCCCTTTTTGATTTTTAGAAAAATTAAAGTGTGGGATCTTGTGGCTGCTTTGGACCCTCGTGCTCCTGCAGGGACACTCTGTCTACGGACCCTTGTGGTAAGAGCCTTGTTGTTCAGAGGAGTTCCCAGAGTATGTAGGGGAAGAAATTAAATGTTGATGTGCTGTGGGATATAGGTTTGGATTTAGTAGTTAAAACTTCACAAAACCTTCTACTAAGTGAAAAAGCAACCAATACATGACAATAAAATATGTTTATATAATGCCTTTCATCCAAAAGTGCTTTAGAGACTATATGTGGAGAGGAATGTGGCAGCTGTTTAACAGCTGCACGGCAACCCTGCACAACAGTTTAGTACAGAAAGTGAATAAGAATTCCGTATCCACCAGAAACAGCAGGAGGTACTAAGGGAGTGAGAATATAATTATTCAAGTTGGAACCTGTCCAAAATCTAAGGACCTGCACACCTGTGCCTTCAAATAGTGGCCTAGGAATTTGCATGAACCCCCTGGTCAACCCCTTAGTTCTGCATCCTATTCAAGGGCTGATGCCTCCAGCAACTTGAATGCCATATTTTTTATTCCCCATACACCACCTTGTCTGAACCATTTGACACTTGGGGAAAGAAGTGATTCAAAAGGAGGAATGTCACCTTCAAAAGCACTAAATTGTTTATTTTCTTGTTAGCCAAGAGCCCAGATTGGTACATGCTGCTTTGATTAGAAGATTAGATGGGATACCAGGGTAGACAGAATCTTTTGCACAACTCAGGGAAAAGATGAAGCATTTGAAGCCCATTTGGAATCCTTACTCTGAACATTTAGGCAGTCTTGGCTCTGGAGAAGAGAAAGGGGTACATTTCCTGTTTTCCTCATTAGATTTAGAGCTCACGTTTTGGCCAGACGTACTGGTTCACACTTGTAATCCTACCACTTTGGGAGGCTGTAGCAAGAAGATTGCTTGAGGCCAGGAGCTTGAGACCAGCCTGAATAAGAGTGAGACCCTATTGTTATGAAATATAGAAAATTAGCCGGGCGTGGTGGCACACACCTGTAGTCCCAGCTATTTGGGAGGCTGAGGCAGGAGGATCGCTTGAGCCCAGGAGTTTGAAGTTGCTGTGAGCTAGGCTGACACCACAGCATTCTAGCCCAGGCAACAGAGTGAGACTGTCTCAAAAAAAAAAGAAAGAAAATTAAAAAGATACGTGTGAAACATGCAGGTAAAGTAAGTCTGTTGCTTTTTCTATATATTTTTAGTTGGCCAATTAATTACTTTCTATTTTTAGTAGAGACGGGGTCTCACTCTTGCTCAGGCTGGTTTCCAACTCCTGACCTTGAGCGATCCTCCCGCCTCGGCCTCCCAGAGTGCTAGGATTACAGGCGTGAGCCACCACGCCTGGCCAAACACACATATCTTTTTAAATGTGTACTTTATCTTTTTTCCCAAGAGGCAGGGTCTTGCCATGTTGCCCAGACTGGAGTGCAGTGGCTGTTCGTAGGTGCAATTGTAGCACATTGAAGCCTCAAACCCCTAGTCTTAAGCAGTCCTTCCGCCTTAGCTTCCCAAATAGCTGGGACGATATGTGTGTACCGCCCAGCCAAAAATGTGTACTTTCATTCGTTTGTAATTAGGCCAACTAAATCTGGTTTTTGAGGTTTAATTATCTTCCATGAAACTGGTCCCTAGTCCCAAAAAGGTTGGGGACCATTGATGATAAGTCATATAGTATGTAGTCTTTTGTATTTGGTTGTTTTTTGTGTTTTTTTTTTCACTTCCTTTGAGATTCGTCCATATTGTTATATGTACAAATACTTTCTCAGTTTTTATTGCTAAATAGTATTCCATTGTGTGGATAAACCAGCTTGTTTATTCATGAACCAGTTTAAAGACATTTGGAATGTTTCCAGTTTTTGTTGATTCTGAGTAAAGTCCATGAAAACATTCCAGTATGGGCTCTTCTGTGTACATATTGTTTTCATTTCTTTTGGGTAGATATCTAGGAGTGTGATTTCTGGATCCTAAGATAAGTATATGTTAAACACGTTGACTGGCACGTGAGTTGTATTTAACTCAAGCTAGTTTTTAGCCCAGGGCCTCATGAAGCACAACCCTGCAGTTGGTTCATGAAAATCTTGATGTTCTTATTGTTATAATTAATATTGACAATTTAATTCTAAAAATGTGGATTGTGTTGTATATAATCACACACAAAAACAATAAGAAATAACAAATTAGAAAGGATCTTTTTGTTTTAATAAAACACCATGGCCCCAGGGAAAAATTTTTTTCTAGTGTGTCAGTCAATGTGTTAAATTTAAAAACAACTGCCAAGCTATTTCCCAAAGTGGCATTATGGGATTCTACAAATGTAAAGCATTTTGCATTTTCACTAACAATGTATAAGAGTTCCATTTTTCCTTATCCTTGCCAGCAATTGGTATTGTCAATATATTTTTTAATTACAACCATTTGAGTGTGTGTGTAGTGATATCTCATTGTAGTTTTAATTTGCATTTCTATTGTAGCCAATTATGTTGCATATACTTTTGTATGTTATCCTTCTTTTATGAAGTGAGTGTTCAGATCTTGTGACCATTTTATTTATTAGTTTTCTAAAATAGATTTATTGAGGTATAATTGGCATACAGTAAATTGGACATATTGAAATTGTACCAAGTTATAAATTTTGACAGTTGTATATCCTAGCGAAATCATAGATGATAAAGATATTCCCTTCTCATTCCATCCTGTCCTGCCCCAATCTCGAGGTAACCATTGATCTGCTACCTGTCAACACTGATGAGTTTGCATTTTCTAGAGTTTTATAAAAATGGAATCATACAATATGTACTTTTTTGTCTGTCTCTTTTCACTAAGTATAATTATTTTGAGATTCAGCCATGTTGTTGATGTGCATTAACAGTTCATTTCTTTTTAAAAATTGCTGAGTAGTGGCTGGGCGCTGTGGCTCACAGGCCTGTAATCCTAGCTCTTGGGAGGCCGAGGCGGGCGGATTGCTCAAGGTCAGGAGTTCAAAACCAGCCTGAGCAAGAGCGAGACCCCGTCTCTACTATAAATAGAAAGAAATTAATTGGCCAACTGATATATATATAAAAAATTAGCCGGGCATGGTGGCGCATGCCTGTAGTCCCAGCTACTCGGGAGGCTGAGGCAGAAGGATCACTCGAGCCCAGGAGTTTGAGGTTGCTGTGAGCTAGGCTGACGCCACGGCACTCACTCTAGCCTGGACAACAAAGCGAGACTCTGTCTCAAAAAAAAAAAAAAAAAAATTGCTGAGTAGTATTCCATTGTATGGTTATACCACAATTTATTTATCCATTTGCCAGTTGATGAACATTTGGGTTGTTTCACATTTTTTTCTATTACAAATACAATTTCTATAAACATTTATGTACAAGTCTTGGGATGAACAAATGCTTTTATTTCTCCAGGGTAAATGCCTAGGAGCAGGATGACTAGATTATATGGTATATGGTGAGCATATGTTTAATATTTTTAGAAACTCCCAGACTGTTTTCCGAAGTGGTGGTACCATTTTACATTACAGTATAATAATGTGTGAGAGTTCCAGTTATTCCATATCCTCACCAATACTGAGCACAGTCTTTTCAATTTATTCATTCTAATAAATATGGTACCAATAGTAGTACTTCCATGTGGTTTTAATTTGTGTATCCCTAATGATTAATAATGTTGAGCATCTATTCATGTGCTTATTTGCCATTTGTGTATATATAATTTTTTTTGATAGAAAAATTCTTTAATTGAAACAAATTTACACATTGACACTTATGGCTTAACTAGAATAAATCTGTTCAAGTTAAAACTGTAGTAAGGACCAAATAGATAATGACTGGCATATGGGGGGGGGGTTTCTATCAAAACAATGGGTCCTAGTCCCACTGTGGGACCTCTCGAAAGCAAAAATCCAATTATTGAAATAATTCAAATTTTTACTCTATAGATGAAAACAATTATCCTAGAGGTCAAACCATGCAGTGTTACACACAAAGTATTATTTTCCCATACTCATACAGTTTCAAAACATAAGAAGTATCCTTTTCTATCAAAAACCACCAAATGACCCAATATTTAAAATATCTTAGAAATATTATACTTTAGTAAATATACCCTTAAATTTTTTGTTAACATTGGTTTCACCCTGATTTAGTCTATATACATCAATATATAGACTATCTCAAAGTACTAAGCTGGAGCAACTAATGTTGTATGATATAGAAATGAAAATAAAAATTCTCCTCAATATAGCCATGTTTTCAAATAGGTTAGTTTCCTTATATAGCATTTACTTATATTTACTGCATAAGCATCACAGATTGACTTTTTTCCAATTAAAAAAATACTTATGACTTCCTTAATGAGTATTAAGAAAACTTAGAAATGAGACATTTCTCAAAAATAGGCATATTTATAGTTTTCAGTTTTAGTTACTAATACCTGTAAAAGATCTTAGATGATTGAACCCTAAAGCCAGATTAATTCCTATATATACCCAGTCTGTTCTCTGCAGGGAAGTCATATGACTTCCCTGAATTCCTAGCCACAAAAGTAAATTACCTTCAAAAGTTAACATGAGTTTTACATGTTAATACCTCATAGAATTGTCAATTCAACATCATATGATATATATATTTTGCTGAAGTATCTGTTTAAATGTTTTGCTCATTTTTAATTGAGTGGTTTTCTTATTATTAAGTTGAAATTCTTATACATATTCTGGATTGTAAGTCTTTTATTACTGCAGTCCCCAGCTCCTGGACTGTGGACTAGTACTGGTCTGCGGCCTGTTAGGGACCCCGTTGCAGAGCTCCATCACCCCACCTCCTGGAAAAATTGTCTTCCATGAAACCAGTCCCTTGTGCCAAAAAGATTGGGGACCGGTACAGTTTATTGGATATGTGATTTGCAACTATTTTCTCCCAGTCCATGGCTTGTTTCTTCATTTTCTTAAAAATGTTCTTTCAAAAGCAGTTCTTAATTTTAAGTCCATTGTATCAGCTTTTTCTGCTATGGCTTGTGTTATTTGCTATTATATCTTTAAAAATCTTTGACTAAT